TAGTCACCAAAAAGAATAGTATATCTTTTTTTTGAGAAATATCAGACTTTTTACCAATTTTAAATCAGAGTATTTATTTTCTGTTGAGATTTTTGAATTCTTTATATATTCTGAGTAGATAAATAGATAAATGCCTCTACATCTGTAGGATGTTTACTCTGTTCTTTCCTCTACTGTGCAGAAGCTTTTTAATTTAATATAATATCATTGGTCTGTTTTTGCTTTTGTTGTCTGTGCTTTGGGGGTCTTTCCAAAAGCGTCCCAGTGTCCTGAACTGTTTCCCTTTTGTGTTCTTTCAGTCATTTCAAACTCTGCATTCTTCCCTTTTACTTTGTGGTGCAATTTTAGTTGATTTCTTTTTTAGTGCTGGGAATAGAACCCAGGCCTGCACATAAGAAATAAGTAGTGCCACTACTTATTTCTTGTTGAAAATCATTTTCAACAAGAACTCTACCATTCAGCTACATCCTGAGATTTTAGTTGATTTTTTTTAATGTGGTGAGAGGTAGAGAGATTAATTATTTTGTGTATGTATATGTTTGTTTCTAAGCACCGTTTATAAAGAACACTGTAATTTCTCCAAGGTATGTTCTTGGAATCTTCAAAAATTTCAAGTGGCTAAAAGATAAATTGTTATCTCAATTTTTAATTCCACATAAAAATTTTAATTCTCAACTAAATTCTCAGTTTTTAAAGGCATGTGTGTCTTATTTTGTGGTAGTACCATGCTGTCTCTATTATTACCGATTTGTAGTCTATTTTGGAGTCACATACTTTAATGCTTCCTGCTTTGTCCCTTTCACCACCTCCTAAGGGTTCTTAAGGCAATTCTGGATTTTGGGGGTTCCTATAAATTTTGTGATTATGTGTTCTAGTTTTGTGATCAATGTCCATTATTTGTTGCTAGATAGTTGATTGAATCTGCATTGACATAATACAATATCAGTGATTCCAATCCATGCCATGGGATACCTTTCAAACGTGTGTGTGTGCACGCGCGAGCGCACATGTTCTTTATACTTTCTTTCATAAGAGTTTGATAATTTTAATTATTAGGGATCTTCAATCTTCTTGGTAAAATTTATTCCCAAGCACTCTTTGGAGATATTGCAAATAGGATATTTTTTAAAGTATCTTTTTCAGTCAGTCTGTTATTGGTGTATAAAGAATGCTGGTTTTTTATATTAATTATGCATTCTGCAACTTTACCCAGTGTGTTTATCAGGTTCAAGAGCTACTTGCTAATGTCTTCAGGTTTTATTCTACATATAATATATGATCCACCAAGAGACATCATTTGACTTCCTCTTTTCCTATTTGGATGTCTCCTATTCCTTTCTTTGGCCTATTGTTCTGTTTCCCAGTACTGTGGAGAATAGGAGTGGTGAAAGTGGACATCCTTGTTTTCTTACAGCTCTTAGAGGAAGTGCTTTCAACTTTCCTCCATTTCAGTAGCATGATTTTGACAATGGGTTTGTCACGTATAGCCTGTGTTCTGTTAAGATATATTCCCACATTACTTAATTGGTTGAGTTTATTTTTTTGATAATCATGTGGGGAAATTGAATTTTATAGCATGCTTCATTGCAGCTCATGTAAATTTCAGATCCCAGAAGAAAAAAGTAGAAACTCAGAATTCAAACATGTCACATTCCCATCCCCAAAACCAAAACAGTATTTTCTAAATACTAAAGAAAAATCATTTTCAACAAATACTAAATATACTCTGACATATTCATATATCAAGGCCATAGACAAGGAGAACTATGCCAAACTCAGAGTATCACGATCCCATCATGAGAATATGTTAAGAATAAATTCCAGGGAAAAAGTGACGAATGAAGCCACTCAATTTTAAATACCTGGTGAGCATTAACATATTCAGTTTTTATCTAAAGCAAAACCAATGTGTAGAATGTGGGAGAAATAAATGTAACTGGGATATAGATGACCAGGTTGGAATAACAATACAAGAGACAGGTTCTGTACATAGACATGAAATAAATGAATAATGTTATACTCACCATTACAGTTGAAATTGAATGATGTGATGTAAAATACATAAAACAAATATTAAGACATTTTTCAAGTAGAGGAGAAAAAAGATGTCAAAATGTTCTTAAGGTAATGTGAAACATGAGCTATACGATTCTTCCTAAATACCAAAGAATACATACACAAATATGGAGAAAAAACTCTTCTAAATACAATCCACTATAAATGGTAAATACGACCTAAATGATATGGGGAAAGGTCAGAATATAAATAGGAAAATAAGTATGTTTATATCCTTAACCACAAAACTAATCACAGTATTAAAAGATTATAACATTGAAATTAACAAATCCATGAGTTCATAGTGATAAAAATATTTTAATTATTTGGGTTAACATTAACTGTGGAAGAAAATTGACTTCCGAGAAATAACTGCATATTTTTTAACAACACAAGGCTAGTTAAGGGAATAATATAGGAAGAACTGAATTAGAATATTTCCAGGTTTCAAATAGGAATATAATAATTAACACAAGTAAGGATCATAAATGATACAATTTTTAAAGATCATTGGTGAACAAAATATTTGTATATTATCCAAGTACCAATCCCCAAACTGCTTTACAATGACAAACAGTGTATCTGCTCCACAAACTGACCCAGTGGATGCCTCCATTACCAAATGACCAGTTCTAGCATCAAGTGATGGACACACAGGACACAGCACACTCTGCCTTCAGGTTGGATGTGATCGGACGCTCACAGCATTAACTGCTAAGTGTTCTCAGCTAAAAGTTCAGGCTGAATTTAATCCTAAGGATATTGTCATATATAACTGTAGGATGTAGGCACAGGGCAAAATAATAACTGATCTGTCTTCTATAAACAAGTCAAAGTCACCAAAAACTGTGAGAAAAAAAGATGAAGAGGCCTTTTCAAGACCACATATTTATATATATGTATCTGTATATATACTTATATATATGTGTATATATGCATATATATGTAAAATATGTGTGTATATTTTGTTACAGCTCTTAGAGGAAGTGCTTTCAACTTTCCTCCAATATGTGCGTAAAATATACACACACATAAATATATGTGTATATATATATATATATATATATACACACACACAAAGTATATACATACACATAAATATATGGGTATGTTTATGTGTATATAAAGTATACACACGTGTATATATATATATATATATACTTTATATAAATACACATATATATATATACATATATACATATATATGTGTATATGTGTTAAAAAAGATTTTTTTAACTCTAATTGCCTTTTCTTTTTATTTCTGGTTACTTTTCCTAGTGACATTGACTGAAGATATGTCCGCTATCTTTTTCAGTAGTCTACATTTTGCAGTTGTCTGATAATTCAGGGTAAACATTCAGCAAAACACTCATGTCTGTGCCTATCTGGAGGCAGAGTGTCCATCTAGAATTGTGATCTCCTTCCAGTTTCTCATGTCTTTAGTTTTATGCAGGTTGAGATTGGAGACAACAAGAATTAAGACTGGTCAACAGAATTTGAAGATCTAGGCTTTGGAATTCTTGTCACAATTAATGGCTAAGGGAGTGGAATAACTGTAAAACTGAACATTTGGAGGAAAAAAAAGCTGAATACATCTGAGAAATCCATTGATCATAAATGATCCCTCCAGTGTTTACTTTGGCCTTTAACTTGGTTTGCTCTTTTTTATTAAGTGGAAAACTACATTTGGCATTTGTTCGAATCAGCAATATCTTTTCTTAGTTGCAGCAGGACTTTGCCTCTGAGGGAAAGAGAAATCAAATGAGAGCTTTGGTCAGGCCAGCTGACAGTTACCCAGGAGGTATGGCTCAGAGGCAGTAACAGTCAGGGGTCCCCTAAGCTCCTCTGGAAAGATAAGCTAAAGGGCTGGGCCAGCAGCTGGCTGGTGGAAATGTGGACGTGCACTTTAGCATGGGCTACAGGATATTGGGCACCTGCACTGCTCCACCCATCAGCACTGATACCAAACACCTTCCTCCTGTTCCTCTTTGTCTTGACCCAACTGAGGGCTTTACCCACCTACCAGGGAAGGAGGCTCTTAGTACCACTATTGCAGGTTTAGAATAGACTGGTGCAGGAGGAAGAGAAGTTCATGCTCTTAGAACTCTGTGACCCAGGTTCTAATGGCAATGGGTGGGTAGGAGGGACAATTCTAGAAGGCAAGCCAGCAGGGACCACAGACAACATCCAAGGCCACTACCACATTTTACTGAGAAAAAAAGTGGTGTCACAGGGGTTGAGCTTTAAGCCACATGACCTGTCTTAAGTCTGGATCCAAAACCCAGGCCTCAGGTCCTTTCCATAAATATTGGGGGAGAGGAAGGCTGCAATCTGAAGGCCTCCACAGGCACCATGGACTGTTGGGTCACTTTGGCTAGACAGAATCACCCATGGGAAACAGTTCTTCCAAAGCAGATCAGGAGTGAAGAGAAAAAGGAGTCAAAGTGCCATGACCCAAGGGAGAGCAGTGAGCTTAACCACAGCCCAAATCCATTTCTCTAGTTCCCCATAGGTGACTCTGCACCTTGTCTACAGGTGAATAATTTTGAGGACATTCTGTCTGGACAGTTCAGCACCTCTCTGAAGTTAAAGGATGGCATTGTGTATTACTGTACTCTCCTCCCTTCATCTTTTTCCTTCCCCAAGTTCTACTTTGGGAAAGATTTCTTGATAGTATTTCATACCAATTTCAAGAATGACTTACTGAAGTCTAATAACCATCATTTTCTGCATTTCCATTGTGATTTACCATTTTTTATTGGGGGATTTTTACCTAATGAAAATAATGGGCCTAATGTAAAACTCCCAGATGTGGTGCTGATCCCATTAAAAGGTTGTTAGGTCATGTGGTAGGATGTAAATTGTAGTTTTTGTTTAAAAAAATAAAAAAGTACTCGTTTTGATAATTTGTAATGGCAGGAGGTATTGTTTTTTTGCACACTGAGTTTTAATGTAACTATTATTTATTTTGTATTTGAAACAAGTTACACATGGGTGCTTCAACAGAGAGGATACAGATCTAAGCCATGAAGCTGCATGTTTTCTTTTGAAATTTTTTTCTGTGATATAAAACGAGTCTTCATGAGAGGCAAATCCACCTTTTCTCAATGGCTGATGGACGCTCGGCCTTTTCTATGCAGTAAACCACATGTGTGGAGGATTTCCATGTTGGTAATCTGAGATCATTGTATACCCCATGCTCTTCTCATTGCTAAAATTATCTGAGAGCTTCTGAAAATGCTGATGCCCAAATTATATCCCAGACCACTTGCTTGAGAATCCCAGGTGTGCTCTCACATTCATCTTAAGGAACAGCTTAAGGTACCTATTGCATGGAAGCATCATTTAGATATAGTGAATGGACCCCGACTCCCATCATGTCCTTTCATCTCCCCATCACTTTCATGGTTGGCTCTTTCACTCTTGGCACTATAGGTGGATCTCTTCTATCTGAAAATTGCACATAAATCCCTCTTTTATCATTTGGACAGGACTGAGGCAACAAGTGTCCTGTGTTCTTGACAATAATATTGGGTTTTGAGCCAGTCCTCAAACTTACTTTTGTCAATAACAAAGTCTGATATTCTAAGACTTCAAGATTCAATAAAGTTGCATTTTCAACTCTTAACTGGGCATGCAGAGGTGGAAACAGGAATAAAAAGGGAGAACACAGAGCCTCAGGATCTGAGCTGTTTGAAGCACCACTCTGGGGTCTGTTACTAAACTGATATCCATTTTATAATGCCATCTAATGTCCTCTAGTTAATGTCAGCTTAAATGAGCCCATGATCTTTAGACACTGAGTCCTGGAAAACTCTGAAGACAAATTGTGCCTCAGGCCAGCATGCTTCTCTCACCTAGAGCCCAGTTTGTAATTTAGTGTTTGTAATCAGGGGTCTTTCTCATCAATTTTAACACTTTTCATTTGCATGTCCAAGAGAACAGTCCAGGTTGACTCAATCTTGTTTCTCAAGGCAAGCCCAAGAGAAGGAGCCTTGTGGCAGTGACTTATGAAGGCCATGCTCCTAGAAGAAAGAGGCAGTGGAGTCAAGGAAGCTGGAAAAGAAGACCAAAAAGCCCAGGAAGTATGTGATTTCAGGGAGGGCAGCACGTATTTAGAAGATGCTCCTAAGAGGTATCCAACCCTAACCTGACTGAGCTTCCCTCTGGGTGCTAAAGGACATAAAGCAGAGACTCCAAGTGCAAACAAGAGATGCAGATTAAAGGGCATGGCAGGGCAGCAACTCAAGGAAGATAGAGGTAAAACCAGACAGAAAGAAGCTCCATCAGCTCTTAGAAAAAAAATGTAGAAAAGTCACAGCATGAGATGGAGTAAGTGACGCCCAGATCCACAGATATAATCACTGCTGTACCAGAAGGCTGAAGGCCAGGGAATCAGCATGCTATTTTCCACATGCTAAACCATAGCTTTCTTTGTAGAATCATCTGTCTCAGCACAGTTGTGGCATCAATGAAGCCAGACACTCGAAACCCATGTTTGTTAGCAGTTGAGCCTTCAAGAGCATCACACTCCAGCTTGGGAGGGTTCTTCTTCCCAAGGCAAGCATCCAAGTTCAGTTCTGAAAGGAAAACCACAGAAACAGGATCTATTATCTATGATGTTACTGTAATAAACTCTTCCACACAAGATGTTCATTAAATCAAGGAAGCAGTCTTAGACAAAGAAGTCCAGAAATGGGTTAAAGTCTAGAAAGACTTGGATATTTCTATTTTTATTGTTGTTTTTACATATCCAGTGATGATCAAGCTTGCCAGGAAGCAAAGATTCTCACATTTTATAAAAATATTCAAGTAAAATAGGATTGTTTAAAAAACAATAGGTTTAGGGACTGGAGTTGTGGCTCAGCAGTAGAGCACTCTACTAGCACATTCAAGGCCTTGGGTTTGATCCTCAGCACCACATATAAATAAATAAAGGCATTGTGTCCAACTACAACCAAAAAATAAATATTAATTTTTAATACTTTTTTAAAAAAATGAGTTTATAAGGCAAAGATAAGGAAATCATACTTGGTATAGTTTGCACTATGGGAAGGAAGGAGAAAGTAAATAATCAAGAAATCAAAGTAGGAGGAGACCACTATTAATGAAGAGTAAACCTATACATTTCAAAAAAGTTGCATAAGAATGATATATTTCATACATACCCATTGTATATGTTACCCACCGTGTAGACATCATGTAGGTACTCATGTTTGTCTGAACAAGTATAATATAGGAATAAAGGAGAGTCATTATACAATTATTATTATGGTCACTTGAAAAGAGAAAACCTTTAGAAATATGAGAGATGTCATGAAAAGCAGATGCCCTATTAGACAGCAGCAATAAATCAGTGTAGGGTATGGAACTAAACAGGGGGCTCAAACTATCCTTTTCACAAAATCTTGACTGGAGCTGGTTTCATGCTCCGGCATCTGTGGAAGTTGTGCAGGGGAGCAAAAACTCAGCCACAGGCTGAATCTTGAGATTGTGGGAAACCATGGAGAAGTAGAAGGCCAGTGGCAAGAAAAGGTGTTCACCACTGTATGTTATCATGTGTGTGTCAGGAACAATGCATCCTGAGGTTTACTGAGCACTTTCAAGGGAGCTGTCCTGGTGCAAGGCAGGTGCTCCTTATCTGGCGTGACCCTTGCCTCCTCCTGCAAAGAGGGTCTCATCTCTCAGATGAGGGCCCCACCTTAGGTAAACACAAGAGGCTCCAGGAGGTGACATTGAGAGTGACAGAGAGTAAGATGAACATGACCCAGATGAAGTGGGCTTGAGGAGCTGAAAGCTCAATCTTCACATCTGAGCAAAGTGGACCCTTGTGAGAAGGACACTGAGGACATGGCCATGGAGACAGATGGATAGAGAGGATGGACTCAGTGCAGAATCATCATGGAGACCAATTTGTGCACTTTCTATGTGAAGGTTGAACTTTATTTCAAAGAGAGGGGAAAGGAGAAAAATGAGCTGGGTATGTCAGAACACAGAGTTGTGGGCCCAGGATTTATACTGTTACTGAAAAATCTCTCTGTATTAGATGAAAAATTTCCTAGAAATTATTTTGTTTTATATTGCCAGAAAGACCTAAGGACTTGATATTACATAGTCAAGGCTTGTATTGGACAATTTTATTTATTGAATTGTCACTATGAAAATTATTTTAATTCATGATACCACAAATGTATAAATGTAGATATTAAAATTTATCAGTTCTCTGAGATAAGGGAATTGAGATGTGAACATCTGGCCAAGGACAGTCCAGGACCTGAGAGCAGGCCTGATGCTAAACCCAATCCTGCTTACCTTATCATATCAGAGAATCTCAGATGTCAGTCCACCCTGAGAGAACATGGAGAGGCCCATTATCTCCTCCACCCACAACACCCTGACAACCTCTAATTGGATTTGGGCTTCCTCTTCCCCTTTCCTTCCCTACGTTGGAAGGTTATCCATTGTTTTACAGAATCAGTATTGGCCAAAAAGATGTTGTTGGTATAGGAAAGGCTCAGCCTGTTTGCTGTCACCTTAGTCAAAGTGTGGACCCAGTTGCATCCCCACACATGTCCAACTTTGGATTCTTGATTCCATGTGTGCATGTGATGCTTGCACATCTGGCATTTTGGGGCTCACCTCTACACTCACAGGTCTTTGGGGACAGGCCTCCTGGGAAGAAACTGAAAGAGGAAGAGGGTTCCAATCTAAGCATTTTCAGAACATCCATTTCTGATGTCAGTCAAACCATCTGGTGACCCAGACACAAAGGCAGACATCAGGTATCTGATGTGTATGTCAAGGGATGCTCAGATGGCAAGTGCTGAGACAAAAATGTTTTCTGAAGTCATCCTCTTGAGTACAGAGGGGTTTAAAGAAGCAAACTATTAATATTATCTCTATATTGTTAACCTTAGTTGACATCCCTAGATAGAACATGCTATTCAGGCTCCATAGCATGGAAAGAACAAGAAGGGTTATTGATGTCTACTCACAGGGATCAAAGAAATAAAACCTCCAGGTTTGGGGATACCATGAAGTGGGGAATTGAGTAACTGCATAATACATTCCTATTCAGGGGAACTTTGTATGATTTTGAAAGCCTGTGAATTCCCTGTTGACTATGGGTCACCCATACATACACACATGGAGTCTGTTGCCATCTGGAGGGTGTTACCTGCTTTAAGAAAGGTAGCAGAAGGGCCTGTCCCTTATTGTAACTAAGGGATAAGATGTGCTACAGAATCTCAGTGTAGAGTTCTTCAGAGATTTAACAGGTGCATAATCCTTATATTATCACCACCTGTTTAGAAGGGTCTTCTCAGTTCTCCCTAATAAAAATGATTTGAATTTCCAGACAGAAAAAAATAGATGTCCTCAGATGTCCCCATGGGCTAAGCAAAGGCTTCCAGCAGCCTTATGTCAATGCACACAGCCCAGGAAGGTACTGGGCCAGCAAGGTCTACTGCACATTGCTGTGGGCCCAACACTTTCCTCTCCTCTTTTCTTCCTCATTCTCACTTTTCTGAAACTATCTTCCATAAACCTGATCTTCATCTTCCTGAAATGACAGCACATCCAATTCTCATCACTGGTACCTAGATTTATCCACTCACCTCACTTTCTTTCTTAATTGTGAGGTCCCCAAAACATCAGTTGTCTTGCCAGTTTTGTTTTATTGTTTTGTTTTTAGATGGGCTCTCACTCACTTGCCTACTTTGGCCTCAAACTCATGGGCTCAGGCCACCCTCCTGCCTCAGCCTACCAATTAGCTGGCTTGGCAGCCATGTTCCACCTTCCCAGATCCATCACTATTCTCGTTCAAAGTCTTCTTCTTATCATGTTGTTATTCTCCTTATGATAAACTTTTCAACTGTACAATAAATAATTCTAATTCCTCACCTTGCCTTTATATTCCCAATAACTAGCTCCCACTGGCTAACTTCCTTTCAGTTCCCTTCACTTCTTTATTCAAATCCTCCCGTAGAATCAGAACGACCCTTTTCTGACTCCAGAAAAGACAAAAATGTCTTCCAGCCTCCAGGTTTTGTCTACAAAGTGATGCTCTCAGCCTGGTATATCTTCCAGGTTTCCTCAAGTCTCAGTTTACACATCAATAATCATCAGTCACAACTATTTTTGGGGATCTGAGGAGTTTCCCCAAATCTCCTATGTTAACGTAGAAGTGCTGGCAGAAGTGCTGACATCTATTCTTTTCTGTCTGGAAATACAAATCATTTTTATTAGGGAGAACTAATTGGATTGTGGGAGCTGCAACCTAAACAGTCCATCCTATTTTGAAGGGGCTAAGTGGGACTGTAGGCAAGTGGGCAGGCTGGAAGAAGTGGTCACAGCAGGGGGTGGTTGCTCCAGAGGGTTCATATTCCCGTTGGCCTCTCCCTCTTTCTCTTTGCTTTCAGCTGCCATAAGGTGAACAGCATTCTTCCACCACAACCTCCCACCATGATACTCTGCCTCACTTTAAACCCAGAGTAATGGAGTTGGGTCATGTGTCTTCATGGTCTGAATCCCTGAAACCATGAGTTAAAATAAAACTAGCTCCTCTGTAAGTTTTCCTTTTCAGGTATTTGGGTTGCAGCAACAGAGAGCTGAAAAACAATCACTGAAGATGCTTAGTAAGGTTTTGAGATAAATCCTATTGGGCTGAAGGGTAAACATCTGGAACCAATATTCTTACTCTTGCAAAAACTTGACAAGCTCAGATAAAAGGATCTTAAGTGTTGCAAGAATTGACAGGGGCTACTAACACAAGAATCTCTTTAAGGACTCTTGGCACATCAGGCAGTTTCTTCTCAAATGTCCTGTGAAGCAAGTTATTCACAACCAGTCATCCATCCCATCACTCGACAACTCTCAAGGCCAGGAAACCTCCTTGGATATGGCCATCCCATGATGTCCTGAACTCTTCCTTCACATGTTCTCCTTGTATATACCCACAATGCCACAAAACAAATCTGTTCTCCTCTCCTCCAGTTTCTTTAAATATTTGAAGCTGGATCTCAGTTCTCTATGATTTCTCAATCATTAATGTTGACTTCAATTCTGGCCAAATTTCTGGCCCACCATCATACACTGTCTATTAATAAAAGTGTCCAAATCAACCAAGATCCTGGGGAGTTTGTACTCCCATAAGGACATTCCCTATAAAAAGACCACAGGCCTTTCAGGCAGCTTTGTCTCAAGGGTGGCATCTATTCCCTGTGGAATCACTCTCTGTGGCCTCCCTTGCAGGACTAACAAAGCTATTCAGGTGTTCTGCCGTAGATATTTTAAATCAAGGTGAGGCTTGTGTCACATTTTCTGTTGCTTGCTTTTTGTTGCTCTTCCTCCCTGCAAATATTTCATAAGACTAACCTTAGTAGACACTCTGCTTTCCTGGGAGACACAGAAGATGTGTGTCAAACTCCCGAACTACTGACAAGGTACTAATTGAGCAAGAGGAATGCTCTCAATAAAAGTTCACGTGAGAGCTTGGGTTATATTTATGCTGTTTCTCCTGCTTTTTTTATTTTTTTTTGTGCACAGGGAGGATGGGCTTGAGCAGACTGTGTGGCAGGACTGCTGCCGGTTGCAGCTGTGGTCTGTCTGTACATACTATTTACATGTGAGTGTTGGTGGACATGCATGGGGTCAATCCTCATTCAACTAAGATGATCTTTTTATCATTAATAGCAAGTGTATCCTATTCTGGTTTTCTATCAATGTTCTGGCAAGAAATTCTCATATCATACACATCTTCTGAGACATGTCTTCACACTTCTAATCCTCCTCATTGGATTCAGTCCTCCCTGTGGGTTTTTATGAGACACAGCCCCCAATTTTAAAAAGGCTCCAAGACAGTCAAACTCAAGGCCTCACTGGGACCCTGAGATAGAGCAGAAAGCCTGGATGCAAATGTTGAGTCAAAGCCCTTTCAGCACAAGATTGATTTCCCATAGAGACCCTCACTAATCTGCATTTCCTCCTGAAAGCATTTGATAAGGTGCTGGCTCTGCTCATAGACAAAGTGCACTCATACTTTAATGTTTTGACATCTGTATCATGGGTCATAGGACCGCTTTGTATCTGGCAGAGAAAGTTAATGCATAAGTTTCAAATTATCTCTTAATAATTCTTTGAAAAAATAAGGAAGAAATGTTGTTAGTTTTTAACAGGTCAGGATTCAGAACAGTAGGCCCACATTAACTTTGGAGTAGGCAGACATGGGGCCCATGTTCCCACCACACACCAGTTGGGGATTCTTGGGCAGGTTTAGTGACCTTGCTGAGTCTCAGTGTCTCAGCTCCTACAAAAAGATACTAACCAGATACATGAAAGGGTCTGTGGAGGATTTACTGGACTACAGTGGAGAGAGAACTCGCTTGGTACTCACTGGTCATTGTGCACAACAGATGCAAGTAAACATGGATTTCATTATAGCCTGGTGAATTGCTGTAACATCAGTGCACCTATGCAGAACTGGGATCAGGAAACATCATGGTCACATTACAAAATGGTACCAAACAAAGGACTGGGGGAAAAAATTTCTCATGGCCAATTTCACAATAATAAATTTAGGTATAATTAAAGACATCAGAGTTTTGCTTTTCCTCCAAGTTGATTTACTGAGAAAAGAAATCTTCAGAATTCCAAAGGTTTCTCTCTTAGGAAAATTTCAACACTATCTTGAATTGGTAGACAGGAGAACTGATTTTTTTCTCCATGAAGCTGCCATTCCATGAGGTCCTTGCTCAACAAGCAGACATTTCTGGAATTTATGAAGAGAAGTGTTCTGATGGCCCATATGTTAGGTAAGGGCTTCATCAACTACACTGGTTGTTGACATTTTACATGAAAATAGAATTCTTGAGACTAAATGCATATTTGGAACCATGAACCCTGATGGGGAAAAACCATTGGTGTTGCCCAGTGAAATTATGGAGGAAAGTGAACTAGATTGTTTAATTGAAGGAAAGACACCTTAGAGGAAACAGAGAATCTGAGTTGGGACTCAGGAATCATAAGACCTCCAAGTAATTGGGCAAATGTTTTGTTAGCATATGTAGCTGTCTAGAGAAGAGTGGAGGGTAGGGTCATTAAATGCAATTCACTAGAACACTGTGGGAGAGATGAGAAAACCCTTTGAAGACAGATGTTGACAGACCCCTGCTGGGAAGACAGGCTGACAGACAGGCTGTAGTGGTGACTGTGAGAATCTCATGACCCCCTCCCTCCTAACTTCATCCTACCTGTAAACCTATGGCCTGCATAGTGAGGACCAGGCTCAATAAGATCTAGGCAGATAGTAGGAAGAAGGCAAAGCTGGGGGATTTCCAGTCCTCTGAATCTTCTCTAAAACAAAATAGGTCTTTTGGACCTACAGGCACATCAATCAGCTTATACTACAGAGAATTTGGAGGTTACTTGGGAGACCTGTTGGATTCATGTGCATTATGATTAGAATACTCACTGCTTCCAGCAGGGCTGACTCTAGGCTCATCTAATGGGAAGTCTGTACTTCTGAGACCTTCTTGTGAGTCAGAAGAATCAGGATGACCAGAGGGTACATAATACTGTTCATTTGGCAGGACTTTATTCTCTTTCTTCTCCTGCAGTGCACTGTTGAGACTAGTGAGATCAGGAAAAAACAACAGATGAAATCAAGATGGATTAGAATCATAGAATCCCATCTGTTCATGGTCAGAAGAACATGGACTCCTCTCTTCAAAAAGGAAGAAGAAAGCATACTGCACGGATGCCCATAGCTTGGATGCCATAAGAACAGAGATGAGAAATAAAGAAATAGGCATGAGTACCCAGTGAACTGGGCAGATCACAAGCTGATGAGGAAGGAGACTTAAGTTCACCTCTACGGTACAGTCACAAGAGGGAGCACGCAATGAAAAGCATAGGCAGGGTCAACCTTGGGCATAACCAAATTCAACACTCACCTACCCAGTGAATCAGCCTCAGCATTGTAGAGTGCTAGAGACCTTGTAACTTATATCTCTTTTTCTATCAATATTATGACAAGTTTCTTTTCTATCTCCTATGCTTGCTGTGACACACACACACACACACACACACACACACACACACACACACATATATATATATATATATATATATATATAAAACCTTGGGCAATAGTTCATAAGGAACTAACTCATCTTATTCTTATTTTAGTCCTTACAAATGAACAAGTGACTTTTTAATGGGAAAAAATTCCACAAGACTCCTTAGGTCCCCTTGGACAGACCCACTCCAAAATTAACATAAAGAAAACCAATTATCTGGCTAAATGACTATATCATCTTTGGGTGAGTGAACAACATCACAGCAATCAGAAGATTTTTTCACCTTTGATTATGGAATCTGCAGCTAACTTTGACTTGGTGTATATTTCAGGACACTCAAACCCCATTATATTGCCTTTGCTTATTATCCCTGATCATTCATTGTTACCTGGAATCCAGTGACTGTCATTCTTCTTCATCATTCTCATCATCATTATATTCTGCAAACAAATTCAGAAATATATAGAAGTTGTTAAATAGCTATATTTTACACATTTCAATACAGTGGCCACCTGAGCATGGGAACATTCTATAATGTGTGGCATGAATTTAGGATGCACATACAGGATTGTACTGAATGATCTCATATAGTGACTTCAAAGAAATGAATGGTCTGTGTTAATGTGCTAATCCTTCATTCAAAATGTCACTAGTTGCTTGGATCATTTATTATGACATGCTCTGAGTTAAATGTGTAAAGTTAAAATGCATTTTGGTCTTCTGAACACTAGATACTCAGCCAGGTTCTTCTAGATATCTCTAGTTACATCTCTCTTCTTTCTACAAAACTCATTCCCAGGCATGGTGGTTCTGTGTCCCCTCACAATCTTCAAATAGAACCTATTCTCTATTTCTTATTCCTTTCCATATTGTGACTTTTGCACTGATTTCCATATTA